AAAAAAAAACTGCCCATAAAGCGAAAGCCGAGGGAGCAGAAAAGAGCCTTTCTGCGGCCGTCTCTCTCCTTCAGGAAAATTTCAACCCCGACGCCTCACGTGCGGTGAGAATGGCAACGGACTAGACAGTGACCGGGCACAACGCAAGGCTTTTCAAGCATGTCCAGAAGACAGTGCGGCACGCGTTGTCTGACTAAGCTTGGGTGGTAGGAACCAATGTCAGGCTGACCGGCCGCTGATAATTTAGCATATATCGAGCAGATACGCAACCGAAAAAAAGCAACAGCATTGGTTTACAAGCGACAAGCTGAAAAGCGAGAAAATTCATTGCCTTCAGGCAGACCACCACGCACATTTTAAATTGCTAAAACTACTTTTTTTAAGAAAAATAAATAAAAAACCCTTCTTCCAGGGAGGAGTGGAATCGGGGTGGAAAAGGCATGATGTGGGAGAGGCATGACAGATCGGGGAACGGGGGGAAGCAGGAGGAGGGTGCGTCACGAATGACGTCAGATAGCTGGAAAGAGCGAAAGAGGAATGTGGGCGGGGTTTAAAAATTTTTATAACAAATCTCTATTAGTAACGTGGCGCAAATAACGAACTGGGCGTTCCGTTTCTGCGTATGCGGGTACGTCTGCCTTGCCGATGACGTCATAGGCGAACCCAGGACCGGCCCACGGATGACGTGGAGCTACGAAGGCTGGAATCCTGTGGATGAAGACTGCGGCCGCGCGTGGGGGACCCGTTGTTCGGTACGCTGACCTAACTGACTTTGTTTTCAAATTTCGGCAACTTTTAAAACTTTAAAAAGATAAAAAAGTCGCATCTTGATACATAGGCGAATTCAGGGCGCTTTCCTGAAAAGTAGGGGGGAGGGGGCGGGAGAGGAAGGAATGATCTGAGCGATCTCCCCTCCCCTCCCCCCTCCCCCTTCATCGCTCCTAGCGTCAGCAACTTGGGGGATAAAGGAGGAGCGGAGGTGGGGCTCCTGGGGAGTGCGACGAGAGATGTCGAAGAGGGTTTATTTAGCACTGCTAAGTGTGCCGCTGCGGACCAAGGGGGCGAGGGGAGGACGGGGATGGAAGACCCATCGCCCTCTCCCTTCCCCCGCATCCGCCAATGGCTTGATGTCCCGAAATTAATTAGAGTACACGATCGTGTGAGCAGTTAAAATCGTGAAGCCAACTTTCATGCTGCCGAATTTTTTGACATGTGATTTAAGGCTCAGATCCAGACACTTGTCTCATAACTCGTGAAAAAAAGCTATGGAATTCAAAAATTCGAGAATTTAATCTATCAAACCCCCATTTTGCAGACCGTCGAAGTAAGTTTGGGCACCCGAAATCGCGACGAGGAAATGCTCGCTCTCACATGTTGCAACAATTTCTGGATAACTACCGTATGACTGATAACTCAGTTCCACATAACTCATTTACAACTCTATCATTTTATCTGTTTTTTTTGTATTTTTTTGAAGACTCGTTATAGGCAATTTTCTTTTTGTGCCAATAATTCGTGAAAATTTTGTTGAAAAGCAGTGGGCAAAGAGGAGCAACAAAAAATCCACTTGAAAACTTGCAAAAATACCCTTGATATTGGTAAATTCCTTCAAGAACGCGACTGCTGCTGTTCCCATTAGAAGAAAAAAAGTCTGTTTTTGGTAGCTCGCTGGCCACTGCTTGATAATTTACTATAAACAAATCAGTGGAAGAACCAGTGAACAAGAACCTGAATGGTTAGTTGGCCTTCGTCAACTGTAATATATCTATGGCTGAGAACCTCACGTCCACCACGAAACCACGTCACTTTCGGTTTTGGCGTTCCATGCTCTATCTGAACAGACAGTTGCTGTTCAAGAAAAAGGAAACAGTACAGCTTATGGAAATAAATTAAGCAGCTCTTGAACAGTTGTGGAAAAGAATAAATGCTTGAAGGGAGAAATTCTGTGGAATCAGAAAGTGGATTACGATGCACTCGAGGACCACTCGATCTCCTCGGCCAATCATCTGCCGGTCACGGGTCACTCGAATTTTCGGCGATGCTGCAAATTTCATTTCATTCTTTTTGTTGCGTTGTTGTTTTTTATTAAAAATGCGGTAAATCTAAGTAATAAATTTTATCAAGGGTGCTGCAGTTCAGCATTAAGCGAATTTCCATATTTTAAATTGATCACCGATCAGTATCCTTTTATACCTTACTTTTTCTAGGAGACACACCTCAAGGATAATTCGCTCAACATAACAGTGCATCCCGATTTTCACTCAGAGTTTTGAGTACTGACTTACCTCGGGGGAGCAAGAGTGGTCGGTTTTCTACGCTTCGGAGCTTTCACAGTTGTGAACAAAAGGTGAAAAAAAAGTTCAAAAATTTTGAAAAACGTCTACTTGCGCTATGCGCTGTAACGCTTGCTGTTTGCGTTCCGGCTGCATTGGATGCACGACATTCGTACACACCGGCATCCGCATCGGTAGGCCGTTGCACGATCAGATCATCTGAAAAGATAGTTTTGAACTTGAGCTTTCTTCAGCTAAAATACGACAAACATTCATTTTACGAGTTACTGAGCAGGGGATTTCGCTTGAAACTGAAACTGTGAAAAAAACTAACACTTATACGTGATGTAATACTTGTGCTGCTGGGGTACAATCCGACGTCCTTTGAAAAACCATTGTGGCTCAGGTGGAGGATCACCTGAAATTCACCGGTCACTTTAAGTTTTACCGTATCTTCCACGATCAATCTCTCGATGATTCATTCATCATAAAAGCGCACAAACCGGCTACAGTACAGGAAACATTGAATGGTTGTCCACGAACGAAATACAGCGATTGTGGCGAAACAAAAACATTGGGAGGCTCGATAACACGTAAATACATGACTGCTTCTGCACGACCACCTGACGTTTGCACGCGACAGCGATACGCACCGGAATCTTGCATATTTACATCGTATATCATCAACGTACCGTTCGGGAATAACCGCTGCAAGCTATGCTACAGATTACCCAAAATACGGAATTTGTTTAAATGACAAGTGGAGAGCATTAGTCCAAGAAGAAAGAGAGTTTGGAATAAATGCACCTGGCCTATAGGTGCATCCCAAAAATATCGTGAATTTCATATCAACAGATCGGACGGGTTCGGATTTACACTTACTCTAGGAGCGTCGAGGGTTTCATACCAACAGATGGGGAAGCGTTGGCCTAATATTTAACACGGAAATTCTACGGCTTTCTTGCTTTCAGTAGAGTGCTAAGAGATTTCGGTAATTCTTCCCTCACTTGGTCACATGCCCAGAAGCCAAAGATTCCACTATGTCGAGCAAAAACAACCAAGAGCTTTTCAGTGCTAAACTATAACTTATCATTCGAAGGAGTATTATATTTTTTGATGTTATCTTCCAAAACATTTGTAAAAGCATCGAATTGTTGTATAATGAGAGCAACACTGCAATTTGCAATCAATCAAAGTGCTATAGTGAAGATTTTCAGACAACTCCTAACGTCATGACTGCATAAACTTACCGTTTTAGCAGTATTGCTAACGACTGTACTGCCTTTGAGCCACTGAATTGTTGCGTGTAAAGTTTGCGTTCGACAGTGCAAAAATGCCAAGTTCCCGCGTGCCACAGTTTCATTACGAGTAGATGTAATTTCTGGCACCGGTTCTGAAAATCCCGTGATTGGGTTTCTTCTCTTAGGGTATCTTCTTTTTGTCCTCTGTCGTGCGGACCTGCTCTGTCACAGCTCCCTCTGATAATTAGTTCATAATTCAATCCCCGGGAACCACAGATGTGCACACACCCTAATTTAGCAATAAGTTTTGATTCATAGCTTTTCGTACAACAGCGTACAGACCCATCAAAGATATAAAGTTTGGTCGGCGATATTTTATGTTAATGCAGTGTATGCATAAATACTGCCGAGAAATGTGAACTACCTCGTGTTTCTACGAACGTAGAAGCAGTGGAATTTCCAGCCGGGCTAACAACGATGCACTGATATTCACCACGATCCTGCAGAGTGAGCTCCGGTAGAGTCCAAACAGAGGTATCCGAGAATCTGAAAGAATATAACGCACAAAAAACGATAAATATAGCGGATAGCCTTAAACCAAATACTGCAAGGTTTCGTAACTTTAGTTCCTCGGAGATACAGAAAAATTGGCCAACGCACGGGCTGCCCGTGCGAAGATGCGTTTTTTGCAGAGTTCCCTGCAGTT